GTTTACAACGGTGGCGCTGACTGAAAGGTTAGGTGTGTAGTGTGTTCTTGTTTACCACCGTCACTGTTCCACACCGAGCAGGGGTGCCTGAACCTGAGGGTTTACGGTCATTGAGCTCAGAAAAAATATGTAAGGAAGCCCCGCCCTCTCTTCACCGTTATATAAATAAACAATCATCAATACCGCCGATCAATACACTTTCTGTTACTTGATTAATCCACCGTTATATAGGCGTTCTCTTTTTAATTATTTGTTTAGAAATTTCATAATATAGTTATTTACGTTATGATTATTGTTAAGTACTTTAAAAAAAAATCTCACCATGTTGTTTCCGGGGAAAAAAAAGAATAGGCTCACTGCTCTCCGTAATAAGCTTTTCGTAAAAGTCGACTAGATAGGGGTATATCCTTCGAAGTTTGATTTTTACTGATTGTCACATTAAATAAAAGAAATCTAGAATAACCTGTCCGCCAATGTGACTGTTAAATTAGACTTTGTAGCCATAATGGGAGTTGAAATTTTAACCCGTGTATTAGTCAGGTTTGGAAGGATAAACAGTTAATTGACAATGAACAAACAAAATACAGAAATGATTTGTGATTTACAGTATACACACACGCGCGCCCACACACATTATTGAAAGTTCGCCCTAATATGGGACGCAGCTTGTTTGTTATTTTAAAACACCCCCTCGGCTTACGTCGGGGGCCCTAAATATAACCTACCGGTTGAACGGGGCTTCCTGAACGTCACACACACCACACTATTTCAGATACAGGGGGTACCTTGATATACGTACTAAAAAAAATCATTGCCGTCTTCACAATGAAGGTTGGCTACATGGTTGTCTTTTGGAATAATAATTACGTGGTGAGGTCTCAGTCTCTACCACGGCTGTTACAGTTTTCCGAAATCCATAAGAAGGATATGTTTAAAAACGTCTCCCCCCCCCCCCCCACAGGAACGAACTCTAGTACTCGATGATCATGAAATTGTTAACGGCGTTCACTAACCTTAAAACCACGAAGCTGCACAAAACGTCATTAATCCGTGTCAGATCCTTGGACTTATATCAAACAGTACGTATACCAAACAGTATGTATATCAGACAATACGTATATCAAACAGTACGTATATCAAACAGTGCGTATAACAACAAACAGTACGTATACCAGACAGTACAAATATCAAGCGATTTGTCCCATGAGAAATAAAGTAACAGAGATTAATCCGTTCCCATGATAACACATATTGTTATTGACATTGTATATATGGATGGTTTGTGTCAAATATTTTACGTACTGCTTCATACTAAAGCACACAAATACAAAAGCAATTAGATGAAATAAAAGGAAATGTTTTACCTCACTTGACCTTACCGAGAAGATTCGAGTGCCTTCTAGGATGGCACTGAGAAGGGATAGGCCTATGTTATTGTTTGGCAGACGGGTCCTCTTCAAATAGAATTTTAGAAATCTCAAATTCTTTTGCTCTCTCTCTCTCTCTCTCTCTCTCTCTCTCTCTCTCTCTCTCTCTCTCTCTCTCTCTCTCTCTCTCTCTCTCTCCCCACCCCCTCTTCCTGTTGTCCTCCTTTTTTTTCGGCCTCTTTTCCAAACTTGGCCTGGTTGAGGCTTGCCAGGTTTCACATTTACTAAAAACCTGTTCAAAGAACTGGCACGTGAGTAGTAGTATATCAAACATAATTTTTCGCATCTAACAGAGTGTATGATAGACTAAGCAGAAGGCGGACAAATCCTGAAAGGTACCACTGTGTATTATTAGATTTAATTGCCATTTAGCACATTGTTATTATTATTGTTATTATTATCTGGTGGAGAGTATTGACATCGGCGGCTACACACGCGGCAGAGTGTAGGATCACCATCTCATTGATGAGAATCAAATAATAGCAAATCATGTGCACCCCCAGTGTCTCCTTTTCTGCGCCCCTGAACGAAATAAATTTCCAAAGACTGTTATGGTGGTTGTGAAGCTATGTACAGAACAAACTCCTGAATGGCGATTGACTGCAACAGGATGTGGACACAAAGAAGGCATGTTTGGGGGCATGCAGCAATCACAGACTGCTTCACAAATGAAGTATTTATGTGTGCATTGCCATGTCAAAATTTATGACGCGGGGGGAACCGACAACAAACATAGGGTACACCGTTTTAAAACGTCAAGGGAGTAACAAGGACTATCGTCATAACACTCGGGACAGATCGAGATCCTCCCTAGTCTCACAAGCGTACAAGACTTTTTTTATGTTGACTAATCAAGCATGTTGTATGTATCCTTTGCCTTGCGTTGTTTTCGACAATGGTGCCGAGAGCTTCCTTTGTTGGTTCCTAGGCCCGTGTGGGTGTGGGTGTCGACCCATTGCCCCCTAGCAAGCATGTTGGAAGAGTCGATTAATTAAGGCTGTTTCCTTCAAAGTCGAAGGGCATCTGCCTTAGCGGCGATAAAGCAACAATCTGTATGCAAATTAGGGCTGTACCGAATAGTGATTTTCACTATTCGGCCGAATACGAATAGTGGGACCAACTATTCGGCCGAATACGAATAGTGTATCATCATCATCAGGTGCCTTGCCGACCGACGTAGGCGGTTATGCCTCACCACAATCTGAGATCTGCTGCAGCATGTATTAGTTCGTGTGCTGACACACCTCCATGCCATGCAACAAGACTGTCAAGAATGTTCTCTCGTTGTCTTCCTCTATCCCTCCTTCCACAGATCTTTCTAGTGGTCACCACATGTACCATTTTCCCTCTTCTCATAACATGGCCAAAAAAAAAAGATGACTGTCTCCTTCTGATGTCTGTGATTAGTTGTCTTCGGGCTCCCGCCTCTTTCCAAACCTACTGGTTGCTTTTTTTAGCTGTTCAAGGCATTTTAAGCATTGTTCTGTAAAACTACATCTCTAAAGCCTAGAGAAATTGTTTGGCCTGCCTACCGATTGTCCAGGACTTACAACCACATGTTAAAACTGGAAAAATAGAAGAAAAATAGTAGCAAGCAAGAATTATTTTTCTAACCTTCAACGGCAAAGATATATTGCATAAGATGTTCTTTAATTTATAAAATACAGGTATTGCCTGTCGCCTCTGCTCTTTTAGACAGTGGTGAGGAAAGTATCTCAAGTATCTTTTTGTCTTCTTTTATAATATTATAATTTATAGCCGAATTTTCTTGATTTTCGCCCTGGCACCACTGGCATACGCACCCAGTTTGAGAACCTTTGCTGTAAGGCCTCGGTCGAGTAAGCAGGCAACACCTTGCCAGCTGCTGTACCACGCAACCGGGTCGCAGCTTTCCCGCTACTACAAACTTAGACAACAGCAACTATTGTGTTGATGAGAGAATTATTTCAGTCTATCGCAGTGTATGCAGAAATGAGTGTAAGGTAACCACTATTCGTATTCGGCCCGACCGCAACTATTTGGCCGAATACCGAATAGTCATTCGGTCTACTATTCGGCTACGAAGCGAATATTCGGTACAGCCCTAATGCAAATAAAGAACATATGTAAAACGGATGAATACGCAAGACAAGATTTTGAACAAGATTAAATGAAGTCCAAAGAATATAACTTGGGGGGGGGGGGGGGGGGGGGGGGGTTGGATTTACCCGATGCGCCAAACCTGTGCAGTGTCGTTTTAATACACGCCTATATTGCACAGAAATTATATCATTTGATATATTGGCGATGTTTTTAATCAGCCTAAAAATGCCCTTGTTAAACTAAGGACTGTCCATAAGTTGACCGTAAGTTCCAGACAGGCTTGATTTCCCCACGCCAGTGAGCACCGCGCTTGATGATAATGAAACAGTGGACTGTGTAGTTTATGTTCAAATGATCTGTTATTGTGCTGTAATGTATTTTGATTACATTTGATAGTAAAATACATGACAAGATACTGCGAAATATGCCCGGTAATATATTGTCAGTCTGTCAATATTTAAAACAGGACGCCTTTAACACATCTGGCATACGGTGCAGGACCAATATTTTTATCGCAATCGGTACTTGTGCGACTATGATTATATAGCTGCTTTTACTTAACAGGTCCCTATGTGAGTTCTGGAGCCAACTTTGTGGGGGAAAAGACCCACGACCCCCATCCACTCCCAGCTTATCGTACTTTTTATAGAGATGTTTCCTTCGAAGTTGGAGTGCATCTTCTTGAGAGGCAAGGAACCAACAGTCTGTATTTTATAAAGGCCAGATCTGTCAAACAGATATGAATAAAAACTCGAGTTTTAGAAGGGGATCGCAGTCCAGAAGTTGAACCAGAACTCCGCAGTAGTTTATAACTGATGAACATTCATTATCATGTAGCAGGTCCTTTGCAGAACGTCGCTGTCATCACAGTCTGCCTGAAAGAAACTCGGTCTCTCGCCAGTTCTCCCCCCTCATGCACTTTCACACTAAAGGAGTCACTTATATCCTGTGCCCATCTTCGTGTTGGTCGGCCCCTGTCCCTCCTTCTTGGTACCATGCCTTCTGCTATACTTTTTTCCAATCCGTTGTGGCGCTTGATATGACCAAAATATTTCAGCTTTCGAGAAAGAATGCTGTTTATTAGCCAATCTTCCTTGATGTTCAGATCTTTCAAGATGTCAAAATTTCTCATCTACTTAGTCCAAGATATTCTGAGAATCTTTCTATAGCATTTCAGCTCAAAAGCCCTTATTCTCTTTCTTAAGGACTGAGAAATAGTCCTCGACTCACATCCGTATATAGCCACAGGGAAGATGCGTGCTCATCTAGCTGATGAACGCTAGAAAGAAAAAGACTTTCCATAATATTTTTCTGGATTGTAACATTTTAGGCTGGGTGTACATGAGCCAGTGTAATCATAAAACTGTCTCAGTGGGGATTCGAACACCAGAACTCCATTGTCGACATTCATGCATCTAACCCATTTCATTTTTTAAAATGTAAATTGTTGACAGTGTCAGTTATCAGAGTGTTATTTTCTTCTGGTTTCAGTGACGGAGAGACGGAAGAATATCAAGTGTGTAGTCGTGGGAGATGGGTGAGTACATCCTATGAATTTTTTCGTTAGTGTAGTTTGAAATGAATGAATAAATGCATACAATGATGTTGCAATGTCGTCTCTTCTTTTCTCTGTTCGTGTCATGCCTCGCAGTGTCAGGGCAGGCAGAGATCTCTCGAACGGGTCCTTTTGTTCGCTTTGTATATAGTACTTTTCAGTGTCTTTGATATTTCTGCGGTCCATATTCTGTGTGGTCGACCTCTGGATCTGGTGCCAATATTATAATGTGGCCTAATCACTTGATCACTGATATCTTGAAAGATCTAAACATCAAGGAAGATTGGCAAAAAATGTCCCGGAAGGTGAAAAATTTTGGTCATATTAAGCGGCACGACGGATTGAACAAAATAATAACAGAAAGCATAGTACCAGGAAGGAGGGGCAGAGGCTGACCAACAGGAAGATAAGTGACTCCTTGTGTATGAAAGTGGATGAGGTGGGAGAGCTGGCGAGAGACCAAGTTTCTTTCATGCAGTTGCTGATGAGAGTGACCTTCTGCAAAGGACCTGCTACATGATGATGAATCACTTGATCTGTTGTCTACCAAAAAAGTTCATTTATGGTTCTGTGCTAACTCTCCTTCTGATATTATAATTCCTGAGTTGATCTTTCCTCATTACACCTAGTATAATACGTAAACATTTCATTTCTGTCATGATTACTTTCTTTCTATTTTTCTGAAGACAGTATCCATGTTGACACTGATAGAATAGAGTTGGTAAGAATAGTGTGGCCAACAGACTTATTTAGTAAATCATTGGGCGTTGAACATATATACCATGAAAAGACTGCAGAGCAGACGAGAAATAGAAATAGAGCTTCACATTGTCACATTCACGAACAACAAATAAATGTTGCTGCTAAAATTCCTTCATCAGCATATGTCATAAATGGACAGTGAGTTGAGTTGAGTCAAGAATTGACATCACAGCACTCAGAGCATTCCCATGAATACTCCATCCTCATCTACAGCAGCCAGCGCAAAGTTCCAATACTGATAGTACCGGTCACAATCTGGTTAAATGTGGCCTTTTCTCTGAGTGTAGTCAGCCGGCCAGACCCTCTGGTTACACCCAGGTGCCTCATTCTCTCCAGGCCAAAATAATGTTTATTCTTTACTGATTCCGTTGCTTGATCCCTAAGGGCCTTGACCACATCTGCCTTGTCATGTATCAATTCACAACCCAGTGGTGCAGATCCAGATAATCTGTCTGCCTGTTCATTACCCACGATGCCGGCATGGCCTGGAGAAAAGATCCAAAGTATGCTCACTATCCGTGACCTTTCCGGTGAAGCTTGCCACTCTGCTCAAAGCATACCCATCTTCATCTTTTTCAGCATGTTTTCAGAGTCTGTTACAATTACAATGTGTGTATGCATCTTGTTCTCTAGCCACTGGAGAGCTGCAGTTACCTCCTCCACCTCCATTCTCATGCTAGATGGTGTGGTGTCATATGCTAGGCTGTCTTGCACTAAAGATTTTCTGTTGGCTTTTGCTACGAGCCCCCAGGCACTTCTCTTTCCTCTCAGCACCGAACCATATGCATAGATAATCAGATCACCTGGGCGTGAATTGTCGTGAATCAACTGTTGGAAAATGGACAGTGATATAGTTACAAACAATAATACACAAAACCACTTATCTGAGGTCTCTCTCCAATGAAAATACATATTTAATTTCTCCATGTATTAGCTACTGATTTGATTGAATATACATCTGTAATATCTCATTGATAAAATTATGTAATTATTTTTTAATCTCTCTATAGACTGGCTAATTTTCTGATTTGTCAGAGCTCAGTAACTTTACCGTAGATTAGCTCATTAACTTAGGTGATTGGTCAGAGCTCAGTAACTTTACCTAAATAAGCTCATTAACTTAGCTGTTTTTAACGCTTAAAGCTTTGTAAAATTTTGTAATCATTATGGTCTGAGGAGAATGAAGCTGCGAGGAGTTAGCAGTGGATGTGGGCGAGGCTGAACACTCAGGGGAAGGATGAGACGGATATACAATCAGACAGCTACTGGTGAAATCGGAATTGGAACTTTCTGCTTGATAGGGGACAGAGCACTATTGGGAGTGTCCTGAGTGCCGTGATGTTGATTTTTAATTCAACATTCGGCTTTGTAATCATTTGATTGATCAGATAAATAATCCTTATAACTTAAACAGATTGTGATTTGATTGGTCAGATAGCTTCACTCTCTCCGCAGAGCAGTAGGGAAGACATGTTTGTTGACAAGCTTTGTGCACCACACATTCCCAGAAGATTACGTTCCAACAATGTAAGTGCATCTGTCAGTGTCAGTATATCAATCAGCATTATAACATAATATATTGTCAGTGTTGGTTGGCACCCTTTCGTCTTTCCAGATGGCACTGTTATGTAGGGCGGCATGAGAATCACTTCCCTGGTGATGGTGAGTTTGACTAGCAAGGCCCTCTTACTTTAAGAAAAATCTACCACAATAAGTGCATGAGATTTCAGGACCAGCGTTACCAACACACGTTTGATTTATTTTTTCTCAGATACTGAACTTCCTGCCTGCAAGACTTTTTCTCCTTTGTCCCTGTTCCCTTCCTAATTTTTCTGCTCCATGCAATGTGTGATTCATAGCATCCTGTTCCCATAAATCCACCTCAGTATCCATATCATTCATGTCCCACACATCTCTAAATAGTAGTAAAGTTGCAGCCCTTGTTTGTTCTGCTTATCTGTAATTTACCGCAGAAGATGTCTACAGGTTCTTTTATCAACCTTGAATCTTCAAGTGTGTCGTCGCTATCTGAGCCTTCAGAGACCTAGCTCCCAGTGTGAGTTCTGTGGGCCCCATTTGGAAGGGGGGGGGGGGGGGAATTAGACCATGCCCTCCTAAAAAGCATGTAATGAAAGACAACTAATTAGGGATATTTCCTGCAATATTTCCTACAAATCAGAGTGCATCTGTGTGACAGCCAAGGAGCCAACATTAGAGATAAGCCAGATCTGTAGAATGGATGTGCATGCAAAACTCAAGTTCTGGAACAAGATCAAAGTCCAGAAGTGGATGAACAACCAGAGCTTTCTGCCACAGTTTGAAGCTAGTGAACGCCTAGAAGGATAAGATGACTGAGCATTGAGAGTCTGTCTTATAATATTAATTATCTGTGACATAACATATCTGTGTCAGTGTTTAAACATAACAAATATATGTAGGTAGGTAGTTGTACCCCACCAAGACATCACATGTGATAAGCATCTGGTGACACAAAGTGCCACCATGCAGATGAAGATCACCCATGGAGAGGTCCCAAAAACCCCTTTCAGCCATTATGGCCATATCTATGGCTAGGCCATATTTATGGGCCGGCTATATTCAGGGCCTCCGGCAAAAGCCAGGGTTAGACTTCAAATAACAAAACAAAAAAAATGCATCCCACATGCGGACGATATAAACACAGGATAGAACAGAATGGAGAAATAGACAGTTATTGGAAATTTTTCTTGTCCAGATTTCAAACATTTGCAAAGGCATTTATAATCTACTATACAATAATGAATTAATGTTGAACATGACAGATGTATGACACAGAAATAGTACCACCATCCTTACTTCATCTGCGCAACATTGATCAAAATGATTTATATCTATTTGTTGTTTTTGCAGATTTGACAACACATCCATAGAAATCACAGTCGATGGCACAGATGTGATCCTAGCATTATGGGACACCGCTGGCCAGGAGGATTATGACAGATTACGGCCCTTGTCCTATCCCGGTGCAGTAAGTTCTATTTGGAACATTCTATTATCTAATGATGATGGCAGAAGTGAAATAGAAGCCAAAAAAGAAAATAGGATTGTCCAAAAATATTTTTGATTGCATGTAAAAATTACTGACTTCCAGATAGATAAATCATCATCATGTAGCAGATACTTTGCAGAATGTCACTCTTATCAGTCTGTCTGAAAGAAACTTGGTCTCTTGCCAGCTTTCCCGCCTCATGCTCTTTCATACTCAAGGAGTCACTTATACCCTGTGCCCATCTTTGTATAGGTCGGCCCCTGCTTCTTGGTACCATGCCTACTGTTATAATTTTTTCCAATCCGTCGTGGCGCGTGATATGAATAAAATATTTCAGCTTCTGAGACAGGATGCTGATTATTAGCCAATCTTCCTTGATGTTCAGATCTTTTAAGATGTCAATATTTCTCATCTTCTTTGTCCAAGATATTCTGAGAATCTTTCTATAGCATTTCAGCTCAAAAGCTCCTATTCTCTTTCTTAAGGACTGAGAGATAATCCACAACTCACATCGGTATGTAGCCACAGGGAAGATGCATGCTCTCAAAATTCTAATTTTGATCTCCTTGCTGGTGATTAACCATAGACTTTTTATTAGGCTGTTCAATCTTTGCATTGCTATGGCCATCCTCCTTTTAATTTCTGTCAGTCTGAATTGCTGTTTATTATAGAGCCTAGAAATTTAAAGTTTATGGCATTTTCAATTTCTTCACCATTTTTTTTTTTTTGGGTGACAGCCAGTTTTATCTGTGGACATAATTTTCGTTCTCTTAAAATTCAAGAACAGATTTTAATCTTTACTGTGCTTTTTGGACAATATTAAATTTTCTATTCAGTTTTATCTGTGGACATAATTTTTGTTCTCTTTAAATTCAAGAACAGATTTTGATTTTTACTGTGCTTTTTTTTGGACAGACAGTATAAAATTTTCAATTCCCTTTACGCTGTTCGAAAGGAGGACTGTGAGAGATAAATAACACTCTAAAAATGAGAATTGTCTAATCGTATGTCAACTCAGTCCTGCTGCAAAGTGTTGCCAATGAACAAACAGTTAGAAAATTGTATACAGAAGAATACATCAAAGTTTATGGAAGCAAAAGCAGTCAAATACAGAGGTTATGAAGAGAAGTGGCTGGCCAAGTGGTTACGTCAGGCTGTCATGCAGGAGACTCAAGTTCAACCTCCGGTAAGGTGATGATGTTTTTCTGTCGGGGGCAGAATTAAACATCCTGACCTGCACGGTCCTTGGCCCCGTCTACACCGCCCTAAAAAGCGGTAAAACAGACAGAAGTGACAGTTTTTAATGAAGAGAATAGGACTGAGAACAGGGTTGCTGAAGGAAACAGAAAAAGAGACAGGTGAAATATTTCAGTCATAACACTCCCCAAGAAGGGATAGTCTTGCAGTTGACAACCTTATCTTTTAGAAAGCTTCAATCACAAAAGAACAAATCTAAAAAAAAAAAGAATGACCCAGCCAACCAAGCAGTGGAAGTCTATCATCTTAGAATAAATAAGAAGCGATATGAAGACAGCTAAAATGAAAACCTCCTTTCATCACCTGGGAAAATCGCAAATATTAACAGCTGGAATGTTAACCTAGAGGAGGATGTGCAGTGTGCTGCAACAGATAGGAAAGGAAGAATCAACCCGGCTTGACTTATTTGAGGCCTGAACTCCAATGGAGGATAAATGAGAGAGGAATAAATTTTTCTTTTTTAACTTCAAGTGGTAACATATATGAGCTCAGTTAAGCATGCACACACCAACAAAGTCCTCGTCCCCTGCACCACACATATACACTAAAGGTAAGAAGAAAACAAAGGGCCCCATTTTTAAGCTGTCATCCCTCGAGATACACATGTTCCTAAACATTTTAGCCTGTTTGAAAATATCTGGATTACTCATTGTGGCTATCTAAGATAAGGACTAGGTTCAAGCATGTGTAAACAAATTGCAGTCAGTGGTGGATGTGGCAGACTCTGTTGTGTTCAGACTAGTGAGAATTCCAAACACATTATATCTCATTTTTTTTGTATCAGTGTCTGCTTTGTGCTACTAGGTGAGCCTGTTGACTTGGTATGCTGTGCTGTTTGAGGTTTCAAAATGTCAGTGACTCCTTCAGTCCATGTTCTTCTAGGTCTCCCTCAACCTCCTGGTGGTCGCATTTTGTACTGAAAGTGTTTGCTGCCAGCATCACATAATTCTCTAGAGTCATCATCACAAGGTGGCTGAACCATTTCAGTGTTTGCATTTCAATGAATGTAATAATGGACGTATTCCAGTAATTCTTTTAACCTCTTCATTTCTCAGTTTCTTCTAGTTTTGTTTGCAGCCTTTCTCAAATGTCTCATTTCACACAGATGGCTAGTTTTCTTTCATGTTCTTTGTCTAATATCCAATAACCTAAAGTAACCACTAATTTTTTTTTTTATACAGAAATGACCCAGTTCCATGACTTCATGCATAATAGGCGTACAGTGCCAGCCCCCATATTTAAATAGACCAATCAGCACTTGATTGTTGATATGTAGCAGATCAACTTCCATTGATATTGACAGTGGTATTGAGAGCCAGCCATTTAGAAAGTAGCAGACTACTGAACGTAAATCTGCCTAGAAAAAACGCAGCAGCTAAAAAATGCAGGGGTTAGTTTTGCAAGGTCACATAACTCACTCATTGCAAAGTGTCCATTACAGTAACGCTGAACAAAATTTTACCTCAAAAGAGGTGCTTGTATTGCCAGAAAAGAAAAAAAGCCAAGTGTAAAAGTATGGTAGATTTATCTTCTTGGAATGTTAGTTGAATAATTGTTCAATGCTTTCCTCCATTTGTGATTCACCGACAACTAGGACGTATTCCTCCTCTGTTTTGCTTTAAATCACCGAACCAGTGCGGATAACATCAAGGCCAAGGTGAGCCCTATGTTGTTTTCCCCTACCTCTAGACATCTTTTTTGTGTGTTAACTGTTTTATGGTTTTTTTTGTGTGTGGTGATTACTGTTTTTTCCCCCTTGCTGTTTATATAATTTTATAGTTAACAAACACAGGTAAGCTGTCAATCGCTGCAGGCTCAGCTTTGTAGGGACCACTTGGTGGAAAAATAGCCACAGCAAGTCAAGGAGATAAATATAAGGCAGACAAAACAGCATCCCAAGGGCAAGAAGTGAGACCTTTCTTGACCATGTGAAAGTATCAACGATGGTCATCAACTAACATGTTCTTTATGGAATGTCACTGTTTTCTTGACACGCTAGAAAATCTCTCCTCTCTCTCATCAGATACTTTTGAAGCCAATACATCTTCAGTGTCTTGTATCTGCTTTCGCAGGGGTCTGTCTCTGCATTTTTTTCTCTCCAGAAGTAATACTGTCCATCACCGTACTCTTTAGGCCACCATGATGTTTATTTAACATCACCAGTTAATGCAGCCTCAGCTTTTGGGACAGGATGCTGTTGATCATGAATCAGTTCTCATCTATGCTCAGATCGCGCAAGATTTTGGTTTTTCTTCTTCTTGGTTTGTGGCATTCAAAGAATTTTTCTGCAGCAACAATGATCACCCATATTTAACCACACATTTGCAACGATGAAAGGACCATATCCATCAAAACATTCACTTTGAGTCACAGGGGGTTTAGCATCAGAGACTCAAGGGGTAGACAAGAGAGATGTAAAATCTGCACATCTCGTGTTCACTGGGCTTCCAGGTAGGCACTTGTGAACGTATGATGTGTTCCTTGGGAGTAAAAGAGATATCTCAGTTTCTTATCTTAGGTCATGTCAGGTAAATGTGAATACAGTATTCCAGTTCATTGTGAAAAAAATGTCAAACTAAATGAGAAGGAGAATCAGTCAGCTTCACAATACAACAATCATGAAAGCCTTCATCAACATATGACACATCAGGACAGTAACACAATTCTAAACAAGAATTCATAAAATCACCTAGCTTTATGGCGAGGATTGTCACAAAATATCCATATTTTAACAGTTAAAACTCCTTGTCACGTCATGCAGGAGTAAGATGCTGGACAGGAAGTGATCAGTTAAGAAAGGATTTGTAGGCAAGTGGGGGTGTATGAGTGGATGTAACTTGAAGATTTTTGTGTTGGACATTAACTCATTGAGTCCCAAAAAACGCATGATATGCCAGTGGCTCTTTTCAGTGAATCCAATGACATACTGTGTTCTTTCACGGTTCACATTTGATCAGAGTTCCAGGGAAATCTGGCTTCCTGTGTGGTTACTACCAGTCACTGTGTACTTTGCCTATTACAAGTTACACTTGCAATGGTTAAAAGGCTTGCTTCTATTAAAGTGAATGAACATTGAAACTTTTTAAAAATTATGGTGCCGTAGGGACTTTTCATGAAGCACAATGCCAAAGTGCCACCTGCCTGGATATCATGTTGCAGAGTTCCCCTCTCTGAACTCAAAAACTAGCAGGATGTGAAAGACTGGTAGCAGAACTTCGTATTTCAATACAATAAGGGCATACATAATTCAGATTAGCTAGGATTTAAGTCTAGGTTGGTCATACTGCTTCCATAGATTTGAGTAAATAAAGTAAAGGTCCTGTTGTGTGCCAGTGGCCAATCGGGCAAATGAGGCTGGACTCAATTTGTATAGACCCTCGATAGAGGATGTGGTCAACATCACGCGGCCACTATTTCCTCCTAGGAATGAACCTAGTACCCATTTAAGACAGGGTCGATTCCAGCTCCATCCAGATCTGAACCCACGACCTTCAGATCAGGCGAGCATCTACACTGCTGTGGGTCCCAGAGATTTTAGAAGTGAATTTAAATACCTAGGGTTAATTTTCACATCAGAAAAAAGTGGATAGAGAAAGCTAAATAAGATGTGAAAATGCAAATCAGGTACTGGGATACCCAAAGCACTGCAGATATTGCTGTAAATTTGAAGTACCAGCTGTCTGCTTAAGAGTGAATGCAGAATTTTACCAGATGTTTTCCATGGTGGGGGTTGACAGTCCTAAACAACTAATCAAACACTGTGAGAAATGTGAAATTCTAGCTTGTTCTGGAATGGTTAACTGTTTATTCCATAGTGGGAGCCAGAGCTCCACTATCACTGCCCCCATGCTCCAATTGTGCTTGTTGGAACCAAGATGGACATGAGACAAAACAAAGACAAAGATACAGACCCAAAGCAGGTAAGAAGTGATTTGTCAACAACAACAAAACTGTCATTACTGCATATTTAGACACTTCTTAACACTGACGGGTCTTGCTAGTCGTCACACTTGCCATCATCATGGGCTGTGCATTCTATCCCTGCCTGGTCCGAACTGCAGGTTATAACGTAAATACGGGGGGGGGGGGGGGGGGGGGGGGGGGGGGGGGAGGGGGGGGGGGGGGGGGGGGGGGGGGTAAAGATAAACTAACATTTGAACAGGGTTTCATGAGGTAATTTTTATACGTAGGACATCATGTAAAGTTAAAGTCAAGAAGATCGACTTTGTTGCACCAGGTTTTTATCCCAAATGGCTGTCTCTCTCTGCAGAACAGCTAGCCGCCTGCCGAGAGAGGCGCACAGAGCATGAACTCTGTAGCTGTGGTGAAAATCCCCAGGGATTTCTGTACAAATTGCTGTCAGAACTGAAACGATGCAGCTGTGAAACAAACCTGTGACCTTCAGAGCGTGAGGTAAATGGCTTGACCACTTCACTGCGGAGACAACCAATCTCCCCCCCCCCCCCCCCCCCCCCGATTCTCATCTTTCAAGTGTTACTCCTGCTGTCATAGAGGGGACAAAAATGCAATGGCATAAATGCAATGGCATGGGCTGTGATTCACATACCTTCTTAGCACACCCCAGCCTGTCATGTGATACTTTTAATGATTCATTTGTCATGTAATATAGTTAGTTTTTTTAAAAACCTGCTTAACTTATGTATTAGACTTTCTCATACTTATTGTTTTTTTCTTTAACTGCTCCATGTATTTATTTATACTATAAATTTATTTACTGTATTTTAACTTCTCCACTTATATATTTTCCTCCACTCACCATACAAAAACTCTCATTTATCCTCCAAAAATGTCTCAAGATCCAGAAAATGCCTCATTTACGCTTTAAAACTGCCTACCTTTTTCTACAAGTGTCTCAATTATCCTACAGAACTGTCTCATTTATACTCAGAAACGGTCTATCTGTCACTCATTCAACAACTTACTTAGTCGCTCTTCTTCTACCTTGGCATGTAGAGGTTTGCCAGACGTCTCTATCAGCAGTTTTTCTTTCTTTCTGGCTTTGTTCCACTCCAGTCCTCTATCAAGTTAAGACGGACAGATGTTGTCTTCCCAGTGCACCCTGGAGGTCTGGTTCTTAGCCTCCCATTCTGCATACATGTCCAAACCATCGTGACTGATCCACTTGGGATTGCAAGGACTAGGTATTAACTCTTTGAGTCCCAGGGGGTTTAGCAACACAGGCCCAGGGGGTAGTAAAGAAAGTAATAAAATCGGCACATCATGCGTTCATTGGGTTTCTAGGTAGGAACATGTGAATGTATGATGCGTTCCTTGGGACTCAGAGTTAAGATCTTGACGTATTGTTTGATTGTGGACTCTGTCCCTTGGACCACCTTTCTCAGATATCTCCCCCCCCCCCCCCCCCCCCCCCCCCCCCCCCCCAAAAAAAAAAAAACCTGGCTCATTTACCCAATAAAACTTGTCTTATTTACCCTCAGATAATTTCCAGAGCAGAAGGGACCAGAATGGGCAAGGCCATCAAAGCATACAGGTATCTAGAATGTTCTGCCCGGACACAGGAAGGTCTAAAGGAGGTATTTGATGAGGTCGTGAGGTCAACACTGGGACACAAACCATCCAGTAAAAGCAAACGTCCCAACTGTTCATCATTATAACCATATGTTTTGTGACTGCTGTGAACTGTTGAAATTAGGAACTATGTAAAAACTGCTGTTAACATTCATGTAGAATTTAATAAAATGTAAACATTTACAGGTTAATAGTGTTTGTAAAATGTATTTTTAAAAAAAAAACTATTGTCTGCTGTTCAGTCACCCAAATGCTGATATAATTTTCCAACTGCTGTGATTGGTATTACCTCCTTTGCACCCTAAGAATCTTTTTCATATTAAGAAACAAAAGGAAGAGAAGAAGCAGTCTGTAGCCCTTGGCGTTTTATTTAAAAAAAAAGGGGAGGGGGAGCGAGAAGACCTCTAGTCCATCGATTAGACAGGCAAGTGTAAAGTCCACAGCTATTTCATAGCTGTCAAATTACTGTAGGGCTAATAATCCCTTCCCTTCCCCCCCTCCCCAATGTAAAAGTAAATGACCTATCCCATTCTTTGGTCATAGATAAACATTTATAGACCAACAATATACGGATCACAGAGTCAATACCAAATCAGCTGCCTTGCCTTCCCTGAACATTTCCTGGCGCCAATTTTAGGCTGATTCAGCCTGAAAGCCTAGATCAGTTGTAACAATTCTGCCACTTTGACGAATTTGAACCTAAGACATTCAGGGCAGCAGGCAAGTGTTTAGTCATTACTCTACAGTTGCTCAAGGCAAGACTTAACCATGCTGTGCTTCATTCAGCACAGAAAAATACGGACTGGTTGAGAGGTCAGGCCCCAAAAGCATGTCCTAAGAGTTGACTGACTGGGAGCTTCCTGAGAGGCAAGGAACCAACAGTCTGCATACAAATTAGATCTGTCAAACGGATGCACAAGCAACACTCAGGCTCTGGAACAGGACTGCAGTCCAGAAGTGGACGAACAACCAGAACTTTCTGCCGGAGTTAACAGCCAGTGAACGCGAAGAAGTTTACACATAAATATATGTCACCATAGACAACCCAGAAGCTGTTAATCTCACATACCCTGTCCAGAAAAACAAAATCATAAACCACACAGCACGGTTGTAAATTATTTCAGCTTTATACTAAAATAACAGAGAAGAGATGGCTGGGCACACAGGTCACGACTCCTCGTAGTTCTCCGTCTTCATATCATTGAGTCCCAGGTCCTCGTTCTGTTGCCAGGACCGGGTGTAGTGGGTCACAGCTAGCTGAGGATCTGGGTCCGGTGCACACAAACTCTGATCAGACCAAAAGTAAAGTGTTAGTTTTGATGTAAAAGTGTTAATTCTGATGTAAAAGTGTTAGTTCTCTTGTAAAATAAACACATCTAAGAATACATTAAAAACGTTTCCACGAATTCAACTTGGTCGACATATGCTCGATGAAGTCGGCTGAAAGGCGCATACAGTGCAGCTCTGCTGTAAATAGTCACACTGCAATTACAGCACTCAGACGAATGGAAAAGAAGAAAGAAAGAAAAAACAATGTTTTTCCACAGTGAATTTAAATAATGCAAATACAAGATGTGAGATATACAGCATGAAAAGATAATGTATTTCAGCACAAATGATTCAATTATGTGCTTCATTATATGTTGATATAAGTGTAGTAATTAATGCGTCTGATGAGATATAGTGAAATATGCCAGACATTAAACTGAGTTTTATGTATTGTTTGTGTCCACATTATTTGAAATCATCATTTGCTTCCATTGTGTGTGTTGCTTTTTTAAAAAAAAACCAGTATTGTGTTTAACATTCCAGTTACTCGAAACTTGGGTTTGGCTGTAGAGGTAGAAGCAGCTTCAGCTGTTGATAGTAATATTTTTAAGGTGACAGTGATTTTAAAAAAAGTAACAAAACTAGCACACTAGTAGTAACTAGTACAAGCAGTAGCAGTAAAACTAGTAGTTAGTTAGTTTGCATACAGGGGTTGTAAACCCTGGCTGAAAAACCTGATTGTTCATCCATTTCTGGAGTTTGGCTTTGCTCCAGGAACTGAATTTTGCATGTGCACCCATTTTGCAGATCTTGTTTATTTGTATGCAGACTGTAGGTTCCTTGCCTCTCAGGCAGATGCACCCCAACTTTAGAGGAAGGCCCCAATTAGTCAACTCTTATGACATGCTTGTAGGGGAGGTAGTGAGTCCAGTTTTGTCTTCCCCACAATGGGACAATGGGAAGCTGTAGTAGTAAAACTAACGGTAGCAGCAGCACATGCACCCAAAGCAACTCCAGACATCTGTGACTTTTATTTCAAGGACCTCCAAACAGACAATATATAACTACATCTCAAGAAATTTCCGACAGTACAAATGTATACTTTAAAGAACTCCAGACATACATACAGTACAGATATCCCAAGAAACTCAAGATAGTATATACTTAAATTCCAAGAAACTTTAGGCAGACAGACAGTACAGATGTAAATCTCAAGAAACTCCAGACAGTACAGATATAAATCTCCAGACAGACATTACAGGCTTATATTTCAACTACAAACTCCACTGTACTCACTCACTGTTTCCACTTACAATATCCTAAAAGCTGCCTGAAAAGATAACCTCACTTCTGCAACTGTACACATAGCAATGAACAGCCCCCCCCCCCCCCCCCACCTTTCAGGTTGCTATCTAGGGCCCCTGAGACTTCAAGAGTCTTAGCATGGGTGCCAGACAAATAGGGCAAAGTCCAGACACCCTGTTCAATCTCTTTTTAATTAGGTCAACTGTAATGGTTACACCAGCCTGGTGTAACCTGCAGTCCTGTGCAGGTAATGAGTGAGTAAAAGGCAGCACCACTGACCAACTAATAATAACTGTTAACAAACTCTGTTCGCTCAGTTACCTGAATAAAACTGTTGCCTGCAGGATCATCAAGGACAAAGTGGCAGCCTTTCATTCTGCCTTCCACAATCTGCATTGGAAATCACAAGAAAATAGTCAACAGACAATTGCAGCCATGTTCACAGCTCTTCAGGGTACCCTTGGGCATTAGGTTAGTCAGAGTTCCCTTTTATAATAATTAACACCACAAGGATGAGTCAAGCGGGAGCCAGTCAGAGAAACACTGCTGAACCATAAAACACAATTATTTTAGGACAGGAAATACACATAACTTGCATTTAATCTGTGTATCTTTCATTTCCTGTAACCTGTAAATATGTTGCCTGTTTTTGAGTTATTGGTTAGTTCCACGAGTCCCCCCAGAGCCCGCCCATATACACTCTAGCTCACTTCTGATTGGTAGTTCCTGAGTCGGGCGACCTCCGCACACTGCTACGGAGGTGTTCCGCAATGCTGTTAATATTGTGTTGTATATTTCAGCACGCCAGCACTTTTAACACTATAAAAACATGGACAAACTGGGTCTAACACACAACCCACCTAGATAGGGCTGCAACCTATGTCACAGGCATTCTCTTTCTTGGAAGAAAACTTAGATGCAAGACAAGCCAGAAAGCAAACAACAGAGCGGCGCACCCCCCCCCCCCCCCCCCCCCCCCCCCCCCCCAGAAAGTAGACCAGTCAAAGAAAGCTATCAATGGAACGTGACCTACTTTAGGGAGACTAAGGTCGAACTAAATGAGTTGTTTAGATTCAACCTGCTCCGGTGTGATGTTGACTGCATCACTTATCCAGGCCCTACTGGTCTATACAAATATGAGTTAAGCCTCATATATGCACCACTGGCATGTCAAAGGACCTTTACTTTTTAGTGACAACAGTTATTCCTATTTTCAGTTCCACCATCATCATGTAGCTTGGTGGTTCCCAGTCGGCTAAAGCTGCAGAACCTCATTTTCAAAGATCTGCCATGACCGCTAGTTGTTTTGATTTATGTAATGTGCTGATGAAGGCTCTGTAGCTGCAACTTCACTTTCAGCTTGCATCTGTTACATTGTGACGCTCACTGGTCTACTTTTCATTTAGTTTTATAGCTTTTTAAGAAGTATGGTGTCTATGGCAAACCTGTGAAAATACAAGGAGCCTGCATGTCACAGGTAAATGGCAGTCACTGATGTAGAACATGAAAAAGTATTTCACTCCTGAGGCAAGATGCTGTTTATGACCTAGTCTTCAACAACATTTTAAAGAACCATGTTTCATTTTAAAAATAATTCGCAAAACATTTTCAAACTGCAATTTTCCCTGCTGGGTATCTGTTGTGAATCCTGAAATAGCTAGGGTGACTTTATCGTCATCGTCTGTCCAAGTGACGCATATGCATTGTGCATGTTCACAGCACTGCTGGGATATTTGCCCCTTTCAGCCAACACATCTTCTGATTTTTGTTATCCAGGTTAGCCCTTCCAGTTAGTTCTGTGGAACAAATGTAGCCTAATTTTTGTGGTGACTTCGTTATACCTTGATCCACTGGTCCCCTGTGTGGGTTCCGGGGCCCTATTATAGGAAAAACAACAATAGACCCACTGCCTACACAAAAGCATGTCGTGAGAGTCGAAAAATTGGGAGCTCCCTTCCAAGTCAGAGTGCATCTGCCTGAGAGCCAAGGTACCAACAGTCTGCACACAAATGTGTAAGATCTGTCAAACGAATGCACACGCAACACTCAGGTGCTGGAACAGGGCTGCAGTTCAGAAGTGGACAACCAGAACTTTTCACCAGACTTTACAACTGGTGAATGCAAAGAAGAAGAAGATCCCCTGGTGTTGTTCCTAGAGGACCCTACATGGCCAGGACAATTAACTTGGATTAAACATGCCTGATGAAATTGGATGCGTCAGACGAAAGATGCAAATACTGCAGCTATGTGGTAAACAGGCTCAAGGCAATATCACTCAAAACCATCATCAGATAAATGAAGAAGAGGCATGGAATGGAATCCTAGTTTGGTAACTAACACAACTTACATCATCAATCTTGCTACAAAACTCCAACAGTTTGGAATGCATCTCCGGTTGCGACGAGTCGCCATGAAAGAATGGATTGGACTCCTTCAGCTGAGGATGTGATGTTGAGTATGAGCAAGAAGTGTGTCAATTATGTATAGGCCTTTCAAGTTTAACTACAATTTGGTTAATACAGGTTGCTGAATGTTGAATTAAGAATCAATATCAGAGCACTCCAGACATTTCCATTAAGTGCTCTGTCACCATCTTCAGCAGCAAGTGCAGAGTTCCCATTCTGATGGCCCATTAACAGTCTGACTGTATATGCGTCTGGCTTTTTCCTTGAGTGGGGAGCACTGGACACTCCCCTGGCCATTTCTAACAGCACCATTCTCCTCAGACTGTGATATCTAATTATGCCTTTGCACTGATCAATAGCTCTCAAAGGATTACTATTATGCCATACTGGTATCTCAATAAATGCTCAGTTCTCACCTACAAGGAAAATCAGCACACAATGTACAAACTCCATAGCGTCTGCAAGGACCTAACTATAAGGATATCAGAATCACAAGAGCTACAGATAATCTGTTCATAGTTTGCTTTTCTTATTTGAAATTGCCACCTGGGCCAGGCTCTATTTTCTCCCCTATATGCCTGAATGGAGGCCATCCACCTAGCCATGCCATATTGTCCTACAATGCGCTTCTGCAAACATCACCGCATGTCCTCCCCATTTGTTTTCACTTTATTTTTTGGTCTCTCTTTCCTTTCCTTTGACCTTGATTGTTCCAATGCAAGGACATTCTGGTTATTATCAGATTTTCACAATGTTCTCTATCCAGTACCAGCATCATTTCCACACCTCTTGATTCAGCACAATTTGTTTCTCTCCCAAAGCTTTATATTTGTGATTCTGTCATAGTTCGCTCTATTCCGTTCAGTTGGATGTTTATCAAAAATGGCCTTGGCTGCCAGGTGTAAAATGGCTACCAGGTAAAAGTCCTGAGAAATAAATGAAGCTGGCATTTTTACCACATGGCCCACTAAGTGCCAATTAGTCTATAAAATATAGGTCTAGCACTATGTACCCAATACGCCAGGGGATGGAAAATGGTCGTTTACTTTTTACTATTCTGTGTAGGTACCAGTTGATGAACGTAGTTTACTGGTCACTGTTTTAGTTGGGCTGTGACCTCCCCTTTAATTTCCAACTGGCACTGTATTTTTAAAGCACAAAAGTGCACACAGTTAAAGTTTTTTCAGTCTTGTCCGAGAAAACTGTTGGCTCTGTGGCTAAGTCGATGTGAACGCTTCGTAATGCCGGGGTGCCCGGTTAGATCCCAGCTGTAGGCCATGCGCCTTGTGTTGGTTTAGACAGTGGTATCAAGAAAGCCGGCCGTCCAGAAAGCAATGGCAAACTACTGGATGTAAATTTGCCTAGAAAAACCACACAACCTTTAACCTGAGAAAACTGGACATCTAATCCACCAACCCATGACCAGGAAGGAGTATAATACCATCCTTCTTTTCTGCAAGACTCAAAAAGCCAACAACAACAACAACAACAAAATGTCTGCTCGGGTCACCGACAGGCACAACAACCACTAACCCATTGATGGTCTTCATTTATTCCTTTTAAAGTTTAACCTTTACAATTCAGAAACCCTTGAGGAAAGGCCCAGAACCTGGAAACTCACCCCCCACCCCCCAATAAACAATCATTTTACACAGGTCACTAATAAATCTGTAACAATTTATTCACACATATTTTAAAACTTTTCTTCAGAAATATAAGAAGGAGAGTAATCAATAAACAAAAGAGAGGAGAATTACATGGAATCTCCTTCTTCTTCTTGTTCGCGTTCACTGGCTGTAAACTCCGGTGGAAAGTTGTGGTTGTTTTTTTCCACCTTCAGTCTTGTTGCAGAACCCGAGTTTTGCATGCATATCCGTTTAACAGATCTGACTTAACTGTATGCAGATTGTTGGTTCCTTGCCTCTCAGGCAAATGCACTCTGACTTCAAGGAAGCTCCAAGTTAGTGGACTCATGACATGTTTGTTGGGGAGGCAGTGAGTCCTGTTTTCCCCACAATGGGGTCCCAGAACCCACACATGGAATATATTCCCTTAGGCCAAATTTTTCACAATAACCATTGCCTCCATGCTATATTTTTAACTCTTTGAGTCCCAAGGAAAGCATCATACGTTCATAGGTTCATACCTAGAGGCCCAAACAACGCATGATGCGCTGATTGTAGTCTTTATTGACTACCCCTTGGGCCTCTGATGCTAAACCCCCTGGGACTGAAAGAGTTGAACTTATCTAGCACCTGTTAAACACTACATGCCGCCAACAGAACAAATGCTGCTAACTTGTCGTGTCTTGGGGGCCAATGCAGCAATGCCGGTTCAACGTCTTTATAGGGATGTGTAACGGATGGTGATGCCGAATTAGCAGCATCTCAGGGCCACAGGTTTAATATCAAGAGGATCAACTTCATATATGGGTTTTATCCTACACTGCTCAGTCACTCACTACATAACGACTTGATTATGTAGCTAAAGGATGCAAAAACAGGCCAGAAGATATGAACAAGAAGACAAACCTGTGACTTGATGTCCAGCAGCAGCCCTTCAACCGTTGTAAACTTCCCGCCTAAAGTCCCCATCTCCATCTCAAAGTCCAGCTCTGGGATCTCGATACAGGCAGTCTCGCTCTGTGGGCCCGCAAAGAGAACATGGATTATTTTAATAACTTTCTTTATGATTTTTCTTCTGCCCTTCTTTTCCCAATAGAGCACAAGTCGTAAACAAAACAAACCCTTGGCCACCTGGCCTATCTGTTATATTTTACTATCGCATGCAGCTCATCCTATGTCCTGTCCATTTGTTTGAACTTAACGCTCTTGTTCCTTTCATTTTTTTTGGGTTGATTGAATATTATTTGTTTTTATTTAGATGTTTTACATGATGAGATAGCCAACTCCAACCCATCCTTAGTCGCCTCTTACAACGCGCCTGGTAATAAGCTGTGTTACTATTGGTTGCATTCACTGACAGTTGTTGAAACTAATTTTTACGGGAAACTGGACACAGCCAGGGTTAGAGAGCAACTGACGGAATGGTTTAGCCATCTGACAAGAATGGACAGGTACAAGCTGCCAGAGAGAGCCACATAAGAATAAACAGAGATCCACAGAAAAGCCTCACACAAGATGAAACAACAGCATCAAAAACAGCCTAAAGAAATGAAGAGTAAATTATACAACATATGCATCACACAGAAGATTTTTAAATTTTCCACCAACACCGCAATGATGTAAATGGAAGAAGAGAAGAAGACAATTATGTCTGTGTATTCCCTAATTAATTATTAATGTTTATTTATTACATTACCATTTATCATTACTTTTAATTTCAGCTAAACTTATTCTATTCATTTTATGATAACATCATATCTCATAAACATCTGCTCATTTCCCATCAATCTGAATATTCATCTAGGTAATGAATTGTAAAATCAGTTGTCTGCTCCATTTGTTAAAATTCACAAAAAGGGGAAACACTTTTATTTATATTTTCATTTATACCAGCATTTTCTGTTTCCCTCTCAAATATTTTATACGTGGTTATTTAAAAAATAATAAACTAAACATCAAAAACATTTTTAGAAAGACTATAAGGGAAACAATAAATACCATGAAAGATATATAATTTTAAAAAACAACAACTCCAATTTTAACAAAACTGATAACTCAAACACAGCTTGACTGAAGTTTAAATCACCACTGATCACTGTCATCATCAAAGCTAACAGACTGAAATAGTGAGGGCATATTGAGAGAATGTCAGACAACAGAGAGGTAAAAACTGTATACACAAGAGAGCTGAATGGCTGTAGACCACGAGGCAGACAAAGAAGATGGCAGAGAGATAACATCCAAGCAGACCTACAACACTTCATGTAGCCAGCTGGAAAGAGACAGCCAACCAGAGATAAATGGAAAAAGGTGATATCTGCAGCTATGAACCTCAAGGGCTCGGAATAATGAGTAAGAAGAATTACAAATTGAATTTGTGGACATCAAAAAGACGATCTGGCAAACATACAAACCTTCAGGACATCTCTAGCCATATCCACTGTGTCTTTAATCTCCAACTCCATTCTTTGACCTTTATCTTCGATCCCTCCTGAACTCTTGACCTCGTTGTCTCTGTGGCCACACTTATCGCAGGTGGTACACATGATGACCACCTCCTTGAAGTGTGGGATATCTGAGGGAAACCTTCAGGAACATTATTTTCAGAGAAAACCTGCCAAACTGTCACATCTTCTTATAAGGATGGATGTCTCGCTGTGCTGGCATTTAGCTAGGTTTCGATATATGCGCCTTTCTGCACACCCCATCCAATTTCAACAAAGTTGGTTACATGCTTAGGATTCACCCCCCCCCCCTCTCCCAAGGACTCTGCAGCCCACATATAAAAGATGGGAAATTGCAGCATTCATCCTGCTCGTTTCTAGGCTCGAAGATGAAAAGGAAATATGTGCAACAGTTCCCACAAAGAGATCAATTTTTGATACTGGGTGAGGGAAAAAAAGCTATGCCATTCTCAGTCTGTTAGAAGCTAGTCATTTGCAGGCTTAGACAACCTGTGCATCCATCTAACCAACCACTCACACAGTCAACAAGACCCTTCTTCCCCTCCACATGGGAAAACTACCCTGGCTAAGGAAGAGGACTGACCATGATCTCCTCTGTGACTGTTAAAGACTTAGACAATCCCTCCACACTGCCATGACTGCCGACAGGGACTAAACCAAACCTGCACTAGTTCTCCAATTCTACAAGTCATTCAACACTGAACAGCTAGATTCAATGTGGGCCACCAATAACAAGTGCCAACACCAACATATCTAAGTACCCGCACGCACACACACACATATATCATCATTTCTCGTTATGCCTAGTGGCACATGAGGCTTCAGAGAGGACTTTCCATGCTTTCCTGTCCTGAGCAATCTTCAGTGCAGTTTTCCATGTCAAAGATGCCACACTCAGGTCACTTTCCATCATTCGTCTCCATGTTTTTGGGCACCCCTGTTTTATCTTTCCCTCTGGTGTCCATGTGAGAGCTGTTTTGGCAGGTACTTCAGGATTCATTTTCATAATGTGGCCAAGCCATTTCCATCTTCACACACACACACATATATATATATATATGTATATATATTTATGCATGTGCTTTTGGATTTTGCCAAAACTGATCTGCTGTGTCTAGCTTTCAAATGGGACATCCAAGGACACTTTTTGCGTAACAACTAAGACATATTCTTGTCTGTGAGGACCAGATTCAGAGTAGAACAAGGATACTGACAAGCTTCATGTGTGTATCACAAGCTGATGCACATCGAGGGCAGTTGGTCTGGAATGACAACACCTGGCAGAGAGAAAAACAATTACAAATAATCAAAATGTAATATCAAGACTGCATGGTGGACAATCCATTCTTCTTCTTTTTCTCTTTTCTTCCAGTTCACCCAAGGTGTTGGGAGGGAGATGAAAGAATATACTATGTGCTCTTTCTAATGCACTGCATGCATTGATCTTCAATTTTTCGAGACCGTTCCTTGATGCCAGCATTCAACCATGGGCACCTTGCTTCTATTACCTTCTAAAAATTGCTCTTGGTCTCCGTGGCTTTGGTGCTTTGAATGCAGTTTTATACGTGTCTGTGATGGCCTTCATAACAGTTCAGGCCGACTCATAAGTTTGACTTTGTTCCTTGCAAGCTTTCAAGTCTTGTAACATCCTGCTGAATGTAAATCATCCCAAGCAAGATCACTGTTTCACCTTGTCACTAATTAGCGTAGTCCTTCAGCATTCTTTTTTACCCAGCACATCAGATTTCAGAATACCTTTCATTTGTGTAGGACATGCTTGTTAAGAGACAGCGGGTCTATTATCCTGCCCCCAGCCCTACAAAATGGGGCACTGAAACTCACACAGGGACAGACCCGACCATGCCACAATAGCCATATCACCATGTAGCAGGTCCTTTGCAGACCGTCGCTCTCATCACTGTGTGTCAGAAAGAAACTCGGTCTCTCGCCAACTCTCCCACCTCGTGCACTTTCATATCCAGGTAGTCAATTATATCCTGTGCCCTTCTTCATGTTGGTCTGCCTATCCTTCTGGCTATTCCTGCCTTTTGGTATGGTGCTTGATATGGCCAAAATATTTCAGCTTCCTAGATAAGATGCTATTGATAAGCCAATCTTCCTTGATGTTCAGATCTTTTAGAACGCTGGGGTTGGTTTTGCAACATCCTGTAAAGGATTTGTAACTAACTTTTTTTTGTCAATGGTTTTCTCAGTATCCTATAGCAGTCCAGATTAAAAAGCCCTATTTTCTTCTCTCAACTTTGATTCCCTTGCTGGTGTTTAACCATAGACTTTTTATGCTGTTTAATCTCATAGTCATATCACTGAAATCAAAAGTGATGTCCGTTCATTAACTTTCCACAAAAGCCAGAAAAACTTCCAAGGGTCCGCATTTGTATCTACTCTGGCACCAGTTTATATCAGCGAAAGCTGAAACTGTTCTATCAGGGATTTCTGCATTAGCTCAAATCCATTTCTACGAAGAATAACATAAATGGAAGGGGGAAAAGGATGACAGAAGGATGAGAATGACACTACTTGTTGTCAATATATTATGTGCAACTATGTCTGTAAAAACACAACATGAACAGAATATATTGTAACACTATTAATGTTTTCGGAAAGGAATTCATTTCATTATCATCATGTGACAGGCCAAAAAGCGAAGGCTGTCCTGTTTCACAGCCTCACATTATCACCGATCATGTCAGTGTTCTTGTCTTGCCCAGTCCGTACGGCTAAGCCATCCATGCATTTATCTGTTTTTCCCTTGCTCTTTTCCCATCAAACTTGCCAGTCATTACCAAGTTCTCAAGTTTACCTTTTCATGTCTCGAGGAGGACTGCCAACGTTGTTGCCACTTAGCACACTCACAAGCATTTGAACCCACGACCTATCATCTAATATGAAATCTCTTAATCTTTCAACCAAGTGCCAAACCATACAAAAGTCATCTTGACAAGAAAACAAACTAACTAACTGAAAATCATTCATACCTCATTTTGGGTGTTAAAACCCTCCCCATCATCCTGACCTACAGCCGTAGATTCTGCAGTGCCCTCTTCAGCATCTTGTTCAGCTATGAGACCTAGGAACTCATCTTGCTGTCTGGTCCTGGCATAGTGAGCCACCGTCATCTGAGGGTCCTTGGCGGGGGCATGCTTACACAAGGTCAAGGTGACACTAACCAGCAATGTCTCAAAACACAAAATAAATAATTCAGCCATATCAACATTCACATAAACAGGTGTGACGGAATTCAAGCTAGCATAAAGAAATTAATCCACTGAACTATGACTAAGAAAGTTTGAAAGGGGAAAACACACAGAGGAAAAATGATGTTTGGGGAGTAACCTTTACAAACAGAAACTTCAACAACAATGGCAAGAGTATCCGGTCCCTTTTGATGATGTAGTTTTTGTTGCTTCAGGTGTAAGAATATTCTAGCTATTTTATTACTATTAGATTTTCTCAGGATATATCCTATCCAGCACCCCTTCCACATCTCTTGATTCAATGAAACTTGTCCACACTAACACTCATTAATAAGCATGTTGTAAAAGCTACAAATAAAGGATTTGCTAAAACTGGATATATTAGGCTAAGAGACTCAGATATCACTGATTCGTTATAAATCACTACACAAGGTGCATTCAAACGTTTTAAAGGGCAAACAGAAGAAGAAAAATTAGAAGCTTTTAGCTTGCAAACTGGACACTGACTCCACAGTCATATGTACAAGAAATTCCAGACTGGAGACTCAGAACTTTGCCCACGTTGATAAGTACCATGGAATACAGAATACGTGCTTCAGATATGTTCTCTACATGCAGTAGACAGATCCCAAGTCTGGCAATTTGGCATTCACGTGGAAACCAAGCTGTATGGGTCAGCAGAGGATCTGTATCGCACCATAACAGTCTGTGTCCTTCTCATCTGAAAACCAGTGGCAGGGAGAATGAAAAGAAGAATACGCATTACTGAACATACCCGCACATACTCCACCTCCCGCAGAAAATGTTTAATGTATGCATGTTGACTGTTCCAGTAGCACACTGGTTGTTCACATGTCATACTCCTCTTATCATACATCCTTTCTTACCAGATCCATACTTAATTACATACTCACACATGGAAAAAAGGTCCCTTTTCTACGCCTTTAGGCGTATAGGGCATACAGGGCTAGACCTATATTTTTTAGACCATTCGGCATAAGACGGGTGATGTGGTCAGCATCACGCCGGCCGCCTTTACCTCCCGGGACTGCACCCGGTACCCACTCATGGCTGGGTCAACCTGGGAGTCGAGGTAATTTTTGAAAAACATTCACACATTCTTACATGTTATTTCATCTAAAATTGTATCTTCCACCATCATTCGTTCATAAATGGTCTTCAGAATGTCTTCCTTGTCTAATATTAGTGTTTCTGCAGCAATCGCTTTTGTAGGCAAAAAAAAAAAAAAAAAAAAAAACCAGCGAACTATTATATCCATGAAAAATTCCTTGTCACGATAACGTGCAGATGTTAAGAATCCACTCATGCCATAACTATCCATTCTGAACCTTTCCGATTACAGACTGATAATCATGATAATCAGAAGAAGGCTGCCTTCTGTTCAGGCACCAGTTAACCCTACCAGCCTGTTCTCCCTTTTTTCCGGGAATTTCATAACTGTTTTGTATACCGCTAGCCCTAAATTTCAGCTATTTGCATAGTGCGTGAGAAAGATGCGTCACTGACTAAAATAACCAACCAATCGTCGTCAGTCCGCTTTGTTAGAGATTGCAAATGGCTTCCCCGTGTGTGTGAATCAATTTTGTGTGTTTCAACGTGAAAAAATTTGGAAAATTCAGAATGAAGCGAGCGGCTGATGAACCAAGTTCTAAGCTTTTCACAGCCCAACAGGTGATCGATACTTTGGTTTATTTCGACTCTGTTATATATATATATATATATATATATATATATATATATATATATATATATATATATATATATATATATATATATATATATATATATTCATTATCTGTGATAATTTCATAAAGAATATGTTCTTGAAATGACACTGTCAGTGAGAGCGCAAATGATGAGGAAAATCTTGAAAATTGATCGATAGCAGGAGGAGGGGTGTGTCCATCAAACGGCAACATCTGGTGTTCACTTTGTGGAACAAAGTTGATCCTGATGAGTGAATTCGCACAAAAATATGGAATATTGGCGCTAGATAAAAGGTAAGCCTATTTTCTACAATGTCTCCAAGTTTCATCATATTCTAGCCACTCGTTTGCATGTAACTAATATTTTTGTATTTCAAGTTACTTTTTCGGCGGTAATGCCCAGGAGCTCAGGTTATAGGGACAGTTAGGTTCAGGGCCTTAGGTCTGGTAGGGTTAATAAATGTTCACAGTCTGCACGCCGTTTGGTCCATAACAATATTGATTTAGCCCCGCGTGCTAATAACACCCCTCCCCTCAAAGTGTGAAAAAGATTCCTTGACTGTGCTCATTTGACAACCTGTACAGATATGGCTCTAACTGTAGTCAATGTTTCATTTTCAATGGGCCACCGCCCAATTTCTCTGTTTCTCACGAGCACAAATCCCACAAAATTACCCTGTCCCATTTGAAGGCTAATGAAAAACAACTTTCTAGAAATGTGTACACACAGTAAATACATAAGGTAGTTGCTAGAGATATCAGAATCCACAGCTGCCATCAGAAGTAAAATTTTCTTCTGACAGAAGTAGTCAGTCATGACAAACTGGCCATACAGACATGCAATATTATTGCATAAAGCACTTCATCAACCTGAATGCAGACCAGCGACACATCCTTTCCTGAACATCAAAACACATGAAAGCATCTGCTGTAGAAACATCAGAACATTTACACACATCATATTTCTAGTAAGGATATGGATTTTCAACAAAGCTGTTTCCGGAAGGATCATCAATCACCTGCAGAAGGGAATCAAATAAGATGACTCATTCTTTAATTGTTAAACAATGAAACAGATCCTGTCTGTGATCTAAAACAGTTTTTTCTTTCAGTGTGACAATAAAATTAAAAGAAATTCATTTATGGTGTAATTTCTTCTTCTTCTGCCTCTCTAAACCCCAATGAAGCATAGGTCAACCAACTCATGCCAAGTCGTTCTATGCTTCGCTATCATATGCAGCTCTCCCCATTTTTTTAAATTTCACTCTCTAGCTTCCTTTTCTATGTGTTTTTGGTCTTCCTTTAATTCTATGCCCCTGTGGGCTCCAGTGCAAAGACATTCTAGTTACATTTTTCTCAGGTTTTCTCAACATGTGTCCTATCTAATGTCAGCGACTTTCCTTCACCTTTTTATCCACTGAAACTTTTCCATGGTTGGTTGCTTTTTGTGGCTATTGTTTTTACAGGATGAGGTAGCCAACCTCAAGCCCAACCCTACCCTTAGCTGCCTCTTACGACATGCCTGGTAGGGTGCAGTGTTAATATTCTTTGCTTCCCTCGAGGGCCCCAGTGAGATTTGGGAGTAAAGTGTAACACTGCCACTATAAACCTCAACTCTGATGTAAAACGAAAATAAAAGTATGAAGCAACGTATTCTTTAAATGTTAACAATAAAATATAAATCTCACTGCAGGTGCACCACAGCTTATTCTTTGAGTGTTAATGATGAAAATATACATCTCATTTATGGTTTAACACAGCACATAAAAACCTCATCCATGATGTAATACTGTAATGAAGTGTGAAGCAGCTTTTTCTTCCAGTTGTAACGATCTAATTTTCTTTGTAAATCAAAACTGGAAACATGAAGTGTAAAGGTCATTTGAGATGTACCGACATGTTTTACTTATTTTTGGCAGATTTAATCCAAAGTAGCAGGCCCTACTAGCAGAAAAACAGAATGATTATGGTGGAGAAAAACAACCGCTGGGGTTGGATAACACTTATACTTAAGATATCTAAGATACCAGATATTATATACAGAATGTCCTAGTACTAAAATCCATAATCCCCACAAGACTTACAAACAAGAACGGCTCATTCCCAGATTTCAGCTTCTGCAGCTTTTTAATAAACTCATCGATCTGAGCAGCAACCTCTGGATGCTGAATCTGCACAGGAGAAGTTTGAAACTTTATAAACAACAAAAGGTAACAATCAATCAAGTCGATCTACAAGTTTTAAATAGGAGTGGCTGCAGTTGAGACGATATCAATGAGTACTAAATATAACACAAACAATGACTAGAAAAACCAAATGGACTAGACAATGGAGCTTATAAACAGCCAAGTTGAGTTGAGAAATAAAATTACAGCACTTGGGACACTCCCATAAGTGTTCCGTCCTTATCTTCATCAGTCAAAGAGTAATAATGCTGAAGGTCCCAGTAATAATTTGATAAAATGTCTAGCTGGCCTTTACTATGAGTTTAGAGTGTTGGTCAGATCTCCTGGTCACTTCCTGCTACACATTCTTCACGTTGAAATGATATACATATTTGTGCATCTGCACTGTCCACTAGCTCCTATAGGGTCTTGATCACATTTGGCTTGTGATGCATTCACTTTAAAGTCCAGTGGTGTAGCACCAGCCAATCTGTATGCCTGTTCCTTTCCCAATAAACCTGCATCTCTTGAAGAAAAAATCCAAAAGATGCTAACTAAAGGAGGCCTTGGAAGTGATGCTTCCCACACTTCCATTTGGAACATTATCCTCTGAAAAGACGGAAATCTGCCAGAAGAGGCGGGATTATTTTTGTTGCCAATACAGATGGATTGGGAGGAATAAAACTGATCCTAACTTCCAGGTCTACCCAGTTTAAAATGGGTTAGAATGTACAGATCATGTCGGACAGGTCATGTCGAACGTCCTTGTTTTTCTTCTTCCTGGCCCATGGTTTTCTAAGAATGTTACTGCAGCATCTCAGTTCGTTGATCAAGTGAGGAGCAGTGGCTGGCTGAGCAGTTACAACATCAGGCTCTTATGCAAGATACCCGAGTTCAACCCCCCAGTAAGGTGATGAGGTTTTTCTGTCGGTAGCAAAATTAAACATCCCAACTTGCACAGTCCATGGCGACAGCACTAGCCAGGCAGTTATAAATCCTTAGGCTCAAGGCTTGTCTCTGCCATCCTAAAATGTGGTAAAACAGACAGGAGTGACAGGATGAGTAAGAGTTCAAGACTCATTTCATGAGCTGCCAAGGAAAAGACACATAATCTCAAAATAATTATTTTAACATGCTTGCAAGTGCTGTACTGTAGATTCTTCAAGCTGTTTAGGAAATTAGCCACCTAACTTAAACATTTTTTGTCCTAAATTATGTGAAGATCTAACATTTCACAGCTCAATACAGTTTAGGAATTACCTAAACCTTATTTGAAAAAAAAAAAATTAAAGTCCACACGTAGATTTGACTTAGATAATAACAAAGGAAGAGGAGGAAGAAGATGAAAAGTCGTACCCTCCGAAGTATCTGATCTTGTTCTAACCCTTCCACAGCTCGGTCTATCACGCCTTCAATTGTTGTTAGAGCTGAAACAGAAATCAAGTAGCAACTGACATAGCAAAGATGGTGCGTACAATTGGTGAAAGGGAGGGTTGGGGGGGGGGGGGGGGGGGGGGGGGGGGGGGGGGGGGGGGTGGGGGGGGGGTTGTGGATTGTGGAGAACAACCAAATAAATATGCATCACAAGTCATGATACAAGATCAAATAAAACTAGGGTACATAATAATAAGATAATGACAAAGGTTATTTATTAATTTGAAAATCAATCACAAATCAGTGTATGAATACAAACATAAAAAAGTGACCAGTTTACTTATAATCGCTGAATTATCTTTCTCTGAAGTTCTATACGACTTACATGATTTCCCAGGTGGGATTTCAAACTCCAGCTTTGGTATTTTAATGGTAGCATACTGTGTCTGCACCACTTGTCGGTTCAAATCCTGCATAAATATTTGACAGTTACTTGCAAATAAACATCAGATAAATAAAGCATGAGATGGGTAAACAAAATAACTACTACTAAATTTGGAAAGAAAATAAGGAATGACATAAATAATTAGCAATCATTAAAGTAATCAGTCTATTCATCCCTCCCCCCCCCCCCCCAAATAGGGCCCTTGAACCCACATAGGGGAGTTAATTAGTTGCGTATCCTTTACAGGACGTTGCAGAGCCAACCCCAGCAGCCCCTGGCTGTTGTGTGGTTTCTCTAGGCAAATTTACATCCAGTAGTTTGCCATTGCTTTCTGGACGGTCGGCCCCCTGATACCACTGTTGAAACCAACGCAAGGCGCATGGACCGCAGCTGGGATCGAACCCGTCACCCCGGCATTACGAAGCGTTCGCAACGACTTAGCTATAGAGCCGACTACATAGAGGAGTAGCTACAGTAATATTCAACAGATCTTCCTGTAAAATTTTCACTAGTGATGCAGTCGAATAAAGATGAACCCATGACCGGAGCACAATGCAGAAAGCTTTATTAATCTAGCGGTTCCTGATATGGGGGGCAGAAAAAACTATATGGAGGCAAAGCGACCCGCATCCACCATACATTAAAAATAGGCTTTTAAACAGGGTAACTGAAACACATCAGAAATAGACTGTCCTCCATTTTGCAAGATGCAGTGTTGTGCTTTAAACAAATTTTCATAGCTCACCAGTGCCCAATGATCCTACAAAACACGCTTCACGACCCGAAATGAGGGTCACAATCCAATATGTTGGGAATCAATGGCAAAACGGCTGATAGAGATGTCTGGTGATCTCTCTGGCAAACATCTACTCCCCAAGGTAGAAGAGGAGCGATTAAGTAAGTAAGTAATGGAATCCATGGCTTATAAATAATGTTTTTATAAATAAAGTAAATGTTCAAATAAACCGCTACTGTATTTAATACAAGATGTAACAGCTGCAGTGTTAAGAGTCTGTAAGAAATGTGAGCCATATGAAACAATACTCACTTGTCCGGCTGTGACATTGACTTTGTAGCAGACTCCCCTGTCCTGGATCCGTCCCCCAGGTTGCAGTTCTGCATTTTTGTACCCACAATGGTCACAGGAAAATGACGACACAATGACCTCTTTGAAAAATGGGATCTTCGTCAAAAACAGCCTTGTAATGCCCTGTGGATATATCAGTACAGCAATGGATTAGTACAACAATGGATTAGTACTGTAATGAGTTAAGACAGCAATGGATCAGGACAATATTTAGAGAAATTTATGTCTGCACACACAGTCTGGGATAAGCAAGGAAATCTATTAACTATTGTTTAGTCTTCCCTAGAGAAATGTGGTGTGGCTAGGCGCGATATTTGCTGACCCAAAGGTCATGGGTAAAAATTCAGATCAAAGTGGATATTGATAATTTACCAGGGTTCACAGAGCAACATTCCTGCATAAGTTCCGGGGCCCTCCTTGTTGTGTGTGTGTGTGTGCCTTGGGGGGGGGGGGGAGGAGAGGTTTACCCACTGTACCCTCACTAGCATGTACTGCAGAAGATGACTAATTAAGGATGTTTATTTCAAAGCTGGAGACATCTGCCTCAAAGGTGAGGAACCAACAGTCTGTAAACAAATTAACCAGCTCTTTGTAAAATGGATGTGCAAGCAATCCTCAAGTTCTGGAGCAAGACCAAAGTCAGCAAGAATGAAAATTAAGAACTTTTCACTGGAGTTTACATCCCGTGAACGCTGAAAAAAGAAGAGACTCATTTGCCTATCCTAAATGGGTAGCAAGAAATTTTTTGGGTTTGTGGTGACCCTGGAAGGGCCAGGTCAAATAATTTTGTGGGTCAAATAAGCTGAGCTTTAGTTTTCTATGAAAAAAAAAAATACTGGTACTGAACATAAACTGTCTAAAAAGCTGCCAGTACTCAACATAAACTGTCTAAAAAGCTGCCAGTACTCAACATAAACTGTCTAAAAAGCTACCAGTACTCAACATAAACTGTCTAAAAAGCTGCCAGTACTCAACATAAACTGTCTAAAAAGGTACTAGTACTCAACATAAACTGTCTAAAAAGGTGCCAGTACTCAATAATTAGTGACCATTATAGAAGTGCTGAAAACAATGATGCCTAAAAAGTGCCAGTACTGTGTACCACTGCATAACCAGATAAAAAAAGCCCTACATATAAGGCCCCCGGGCCCTAACAGTATTGATCAGGTCGATGCAGGTTCATCTGGGTAAAGATTCAACATAACATGCATTCAGAACAAGGTCATATCAGCTGTTTCCCTCATCAACAGCTAGCTGTCATTTGGTTAACTACTCGTCTTGCATCCCCCCCCCCCCCCCCCCCCCCCCCCCCCCCCCCCCCCCCCCCCCCGCCCGAGTCTTGAGTGGGCCCACAGACTGCCAACACTTCCCACTGCATCATTCTCATGAGGTACATCATTATCAAGTGTTTTACCAGCTGGCATAGGCGTTCATGTATTTCCACAGATCTGTCTTTGGTGTTCCAGAAGTACAGGTTCTCACTATTTACTTCAATTTTTCTGTTACCTTGATCTCTTGTCTTGTGCTGTTGTAGTACACCTCCAAGTGGGGCCAGTCTAGCCAACGTATCTGCCTGCTCACGCTCAAACACCCTAGAATGGCCTGGGCAAAAAATGCATGTGCCTCTCACTACCACATGGATTTGGGGCGTCGCAGGTCGACCCAGACTAAAAGGGGTAACAGTATGGCTGTCCTGCTGACCACATTACCCACACAGTCCCGATTGGTCTGTAAAAAATGTGGGTGCTCTTCCCATATGTCCAATGCGCCTAAAGGCGTGAAAAGGAACTCTCACTATCTGTGACCTCTGGATTGATGTGACCCACCTCATATGAAGAAAACTGACTCCACCTCCATGTATCTTATTGATCATCAGGTTGGCCTCTTCTACTGTGGGTGGTAGTTGAAGTACTTGATCATTTTATTTTACTGTGGCAAAATACATGCTGTGCACCGACACACGAGGAGTCACCATTTATTAAACCAAAACAAAACCTTAAATGCATACAGAAAGCCTCACAACTCAACAAGAAAGGCAACACCACATCCTTATAGTAGCCCAAACTGAATTGTTCATTATGGCACAGTACTAACCTGCTCCTCACAGTTGACACATAGGCTTTCAATCTCTGTTATCTCTGGATCGTAATCTTCCGCTGTGATGTCACGAAATAATGGCTGGGACAATGTGTCGCTGCTTGAGATCTTCTCCTCAGTGCTCATGATTTACAACTATAGTGAATTTGAAAAAAAAAAAAAAAAAAAACATTAGCAGTGCAGTACAGAAATTAGTAGTATAGTGAATTATAGAACTAAATAAATAATTCACTGATTAACTAAAGAATTACAGTGGATTCAAAAACCAAATTATTATGAATATCTTATCTCTAATATACCTACTAATTTGGGACCATTATTCAGAGGATAGCCCATATACCATACTATTACTGGAAAGACTAGGAATGAAAAGAGAATTACTGAAAGGAAACGTAAATATCTTGGCCACATTAAAAGACAACACTCTTTTAAAAACCATACTGTAGGGAAAGGTCGAGGCCAATATAGCAAGGGGTAGACAACAACACAAGTGAGATAACATCACACAAGATGGACAAACAGCAATCGGAGAGTGTACAACCAAAACATGAATCCAACCTTTACTGTGGAGACAACACCTGGCTGAATTACTGAAAGCAGGTGAGCGGGAAGTTGGGGGCGGGGCTTAAAATTGATTATTTTGTAGTGTAATGTAATACTAATAGTAATCAGCAAAATCATGAAATGCTAGCCACTGAATGATTCAGTGGATCAACTCAGTCAATGTGAGTCAACTTGATCAATTATTATTTAAATATTTATAATTATATATATTTAATGAAGGCACTTCGATGCAATATCAACAGTTTCAAGGAGCTATTTATGTCCTCACTGGAATCAAGACAGAAAACCAGACAAGACCTACGTGTACGGATATGATCGTCTTTTGAGGAAACCCAAATAAACACGAGTTTAATATGATTCGCCTTGTTGAAGTTGTTGACCCTGCGACACCGGATGTGATTATTTTGCAGTTAAAACGTAGTTTCGGGAACGAAACAAGTTCTGGAATTTTCGATTTTCTTATTTTCGGAAATTAGATGATGAAAGTCTTTTTTTTTTTTAAACATATGAGAAGGAATTTCATCGAGAACTTGGTAATAACTGCTAAGAATGCTGGAAAGAGAGCAAGGGTAAGGCACACACACAAAAATACTCCGGGAAATGAACAGCCGGACAGACTGGTTGGCTCTGCACGACAGTGGAATATTGATGCAAGATATGGCAGACGTGGTTAGGGCCTTGTGGGGAAAACTGTACAGTTCGGAGGAGCCTATGGATCACCACAGTCTGGTGAAAGTGATGCAGCGGAGAGTGACGACGGGATCTAACTGAAACTCGACGCTCAGAGAAAAGGTAAGACGGACGTATAATCATAATGCTACTGGCACCGTTGGTATTGAAACTTTGCTGGCTGCTGAATATAAAGTCGGGCGTTTATGAGAATGCCCCAAGTGCTGCGTTGTTGATTCTTGAATCAACTTAACTCAGATAAATGCCTGCATATCTTAGCCAAATTGCGAAGGCCTCAGTAACGTGGTTCTCCTTGAACACGCATATAGTGAAGGCAGACTTACCAGCAGTGGAAAGTAGCGAGGAAATTTTGACGAGAACAAATCTGATGACATACCTTGGCGCGAAGTTTGATCGCAGCCTATCCTTCAAAGAACATATTGACCATGTCGTAACAAAAGCACGCAAAGTCCTGTTAGCAATGAGGGTCCTGGTTGCCGCTAACACTGAGCAGAGACTGCTTCTGCTTCTGTTCCAGGGCCTTGTATTTTCTCCCATCGAATATGCTCTCGCCATCCTCACTGTCAACCATACTCAGATTGAAATACTTGAAAAAGTGCAAAATGAAGCAATGTGCATTATTCTAGGGTGCACTGGAGACACCTCTTGTGTAGCAATGAGGTACCTTCTTGACTTCCCTACCATGAACTACAGGATCAAGATCTGGAGGGCTCGTGCATACCTCTAAATAAGCTCATATCTGAAGCACCCTTTGCACCACATGCTCTTCAAGAAAAAGGACTTAAAGGGGACAAATCCTGGCAGAGGATGACATCATGCAAGTTTGCAGCCTTACAGACATCCACCCAATTGTGGAGTGGATATCAGAGTCTAAAGCGCCCAATCTCACATTTTCCTATGTGTCGCGACGCTCGATAGGAGCTGTCGGGAGCAAAATCTAGCTGCTGTCAGTGCCGAGGTATGCGCGCTTATCAGTGACAAGTCAGATGTGGTGATCTTCACAGACGGGTCCGTTATACGAGGACATAAGAGTGCATGGGCATTTATAGCTCACTCTTCAGGCAGAACAGTTAAGGAAGCCAGCTGTGCTTTCTCCATGACCACCAGCAGCATGACGGTGGAGGTGATCGCGGTGACACATGCTTTCATGTGGCTGGGATCACAGGACTATTCCCGCGTGTGTGTGCTGAGTGATTCTTTGAGTATGATCCGGCGGGTCGAGACAGGCTGGTTACGCAGACAGTGGCTTGAGCCATTGCAAAATTCTCCTGTGGGTGCAGTTACTTTCATATTCGTCCCAGGGCATGCAGGCGTTGTTGGTAATGAGAGAGCTGATAAACTGGCAGGCACTGCATTAATTGAAGATGGCCGGCCCATGGATCACGCAGACATTGTCATTGCCCTTAGAGAGATAGGACGCTCTGAGAATTTTGGAAGCAACGTGTCCACATAACTTCTAAGAATACGTGAATTGGAAGTAAAGATCGGCACAGCCAAGCGTGAGAAGCATACTGAACGCACTTGAAGTCTTTTTAACCAACATAGGGCTGGTACTATTAACGGCACGACGCTGATGAATATGTTGAGAGTGGAATCTGAGCGCCTATGGATGTGTCCGGAGTGCTGTGAAGATAATCTAACTCATAACACGTAACTGGCACATGATGACTGATTGTGTCGCGTGGCTTGGGTCATAACTTGTGTCCATATCCTTTTGTCTTAATGTCAACTTGGCTTACAACTTATTGTGGTCTCTCCCCCTCTCGGCTTCTTCTTCTTCGTTCCTACCGTCGTTCTTTATTTTGTGCTATTCCTTCTGCTTTGTGTTCATTGTATGCCTTCAAGCGCAAAACTAAGACAAACACGGATAAATGGTGTAGCAGAAACTTGATCTTGATGTTTGTAAAAAAAAAATAAAAAACAGAAAACTTCGTGCCTCTTTCAACCGGCTCCTAGATTGAGCATTGGTTATATCGTGGCTGTGTTTATGTGCTTGGAGTTTGTTCTCCAATAATATTTTCCCCTCTTTATTAGCGGCGTTTCAATACGCCTTAGCTTTTGCTCGGTGTTTGAGCTGTTATTTCGTATTTGTCAAGTCCGCCGTTACCTACAGCACTACTGCATCCTCCTGGTACATCATCATACAGCACTCAAGTCAGCCCAAAACACGGCCCTTTTCAGGGTCCTCAATTTAACTTCTTTTTGTTAGCTTTTTGTTTTCGCTCCATACGTGTATGTGCGCAAGCTTCTTTTTTGTGTGCCTTTTTTTAAAAGCCAAATCTGTTATTTTTTTGTGTGTGGCTGTTTGGCTTTTTTCTTTTTTCAATTTTTTTTAATCCAGTTTTCTTCTGGCCACACATGGTTGAGAGGTTAGTTAGTTAGTTAGTTAGTTGGGTTATCGTCATTGCACTCCGGACATGTCCATAGGTGCTCAGATCCTCCCCTCAGTATGAACCCCAACGTCCGATGGCTAATAGTACCAGTTCTATGTTGATTAACAAGTCTTCTGACGTGTCCGGTGTGCGTCTCGTTTTTTGCTGTGCCGATCTTAATTCCCAAGTCTGCCATTCTGGCGAGTGATGTGGATTCACTGCCACCAAAGGCCTCTATCCTTCCCATTTCTCTGAGGGCATTGATAATATCAGCATGATCCATAGGCCGACCGTCGGTAGTGATAGCGGATCCAGCCAACCTGTCAGCTCTTTCATTTCCATCGACGCCTGCGTGTCCCGGAACAAAAATAAAGGTGACTCCACGCACAGTGGACTTCTGTAATGATTCAAGCCATTGTCTTCGCACTGAACCTGCCTGAACCCTCCGGATCATACTCATTGAATCACTGAGTATACATATGCGGGTGTATTTTTGTGTTTCAAGCCAGGCAAACGCTTGCGTCACTGCCATCACCTCCATCGTCATGCTGCTGGTTGTCATGGAGAAGGCACCGTTGGCTTCTTTGACTGTTCTGCCCGCTGAGCGTGCTGTAAATGCCCATGCGCTTCTTCTTTGGCGTATAACGGATCCGTCTGTGTAGATTAGTGCATCTGCTTCGTCTGAATTTTCACCGATGAGAGCGTTGACCTCTGCATTAACAGCAACAGGATTCTCTTCTCTACATCGCCTGTTGAGTGTGACAATACAGGAAAATGTACAAATAAACGCCTGAGGCACAGGTATCCATTCTGCACCAGGTATGATGTCGGTTAGGCTGCATATTTGCATAATAACATCTTCTGCCCGACCTAGCCACGATTTTCCCCTCTTCAGTCTGTCGCCCTTTTCACTAAAAAGCCCTTGATGCAGTGGGTGTTTCTTATCAGCACATATTTTTAGGTATGCCCGAGCCCTCCACATTCTGATCCTTGAGAGGTAGTGGTGATAAGTAAGAGTAGGCTCAATTGAAAATTGAGAGTTAGTGTTAAGGACTTACAGTGAGGTCGGAAGATGGAGGTAGAAGTGATAGCTTAACTAGGTTCTGTGTTTGTTGTCCTCTGGGATGCGGCACTTGCTTCTGAGTTATCCGCTTCCGTGGGTGTGGTAATTTCTTCGGTTGTTGAGTTGGCCTCGTCCGGGGGCTTTTCTTTTGATGTCCTGGAAATACTGTGTCACCAGTTTTTGCAGTTCTTTGCTGCTGTCCACTTTTAGGCATTCCTCTAGGGATATTGTTTTCTTCTGACTGCTGAAGAATTCACATAACTGTTTTCTTTGGTCCATATCCTTCGACATTCAAACAGGTAGTGGGCCATTGAATTTTGTGATTTGCATGTGTCGCATGTTGGGTGCTGGAACCTTTCTGGTCAGTAACCCAGTCGCATCTTCCATAGTTTGTTGACTGTTGGGATTTTTGTTGGTTCTTTGATCTGCGACTGGGT